ATTTCAAAGCCCATACTTCTCTACTTTTTCTTGAGTAAAGTAGTTTAGTCAGTACTTCTACTTTCACCAGAGTATTTTTAAACACGAGTATCTGTACTTCTACTTGAGTAAAGGATGTGTGTGCTTTTGCCATCTCCCATGACACATTAGTAGCCCTGGGGGGCCAGTCCATGTCCCAGGAAATGGGTGTTAATCCGCTCTTTACTAAGCCGAAGTGTTGTGTTTCAGGGCAGAGAACACGGCCCCCCTCGTTTCCATGGTATGCTAAAGACCTGTCTGACTCGTATTGTGAATGAGGACAAGAATATCAGTTGTAGATTGAATTGTGGTTAGGTCTTCCTCATGGAAAGATGAGGCCTACGGTTAAAACAGCCGGATGACGGGGCCTGAAAAGATCCCATGTGAGTTTTGAGCTATTTTATAGAGTCTGTCCAGCCTGACAGCTCCGGGTCAGAGTCAGACCTTTCGTTCTCGATCCATTTTTAGACCCCCATTAGCCAAAAAAAAAAAAAAAAACACATTTCACAGTCTCTCCACTCTCTCAGCTATTCAAATATCTTAAGCTTTATATTTTGACTGAAAATGTCAAACTGTTTTGGCGTGTGTTTTTATTTTCTCTTGATTTCTATTCTTATTTATTATGTATGAAGTGTTCATGTGCTTTAATCTCGTGTGTCATTACTGCTCAACTAACGTTTTTATTATCTTTGCTTTTTAATGCCATTTTATAATGTGTTTCCGCTGCACTATTTCTTAATGCTCTTAATGTCTTTCAGTTTTGTAAGGCACTTTGAATTACCTTGTTTTGAAACGTGCTATATAAATAAACTTGCCTTAGCCTAATCTTTTAGGACAAAAGCAGTCATGGAAACAGTCGAGTCAAATATCTATGACTATATATTTGGTACATGGTTTGATTTTGTGTCTTTTAGTGCTTTCTATCAAACTGATATCTTTACCCTCTGCTAATCATAGCCTCTTTTGACACTCTCTTATCCCAGGTGATCCAGCGGATATTCTACGTGGTGAACCGTTCGTGGACGGGTCGTATGACCATGATGGAGCTGCGCAGGAGTAACTTCCTGCAGACCTTGGCCCTGCTGGAGGAGGAGGACGACATCAACCAGATCACAGACTACTTCTCCTACGAACACTTCTACGTTATCTACTGCAAGTTCTGGGAGCTGGACACTGACCATGACCTCTACATCGACCCCAAAGACCTGGCCAGATACAACGAACACAGTAAGGACCACTCAAAGAGTCCCGACTGGAACACATCCAGACCATACACATCTACAAATGTTTAAACTATATCAAGAAAGAATCCAGGCCTTAAAATCAAAATAGATATGTATAGGATGTATAGATTATAAAGAGGCATATTTGTTATTTAATTTATGGCTATATTAAAACATTTTGGCCAGTAAATAATCAGAAAGACACTGTTTTGGACATTCCCTTGCGTATCTTCCACTTGCTCAGCTCTGACTAGCTAATGTAAAAACGGCCGCTGTTTGTCTCAGACTCACCGCTCTCTGATGTGAAATGCATTACACCGTTAACTACGTTAAATGACCACTTAGCCACATTTAAATTAACTTACTCAGTACTTACGCAAATGGTTGAACTGTATGCTCTGTGTTTAACAACAGTTTCCATTTGTTTCTGAGTCTTCTAACAAAATTACATTTGCTTACTTTTCTCATTCTCTCCTGTGACAGCATCCTCAAACAGAATCATTGAAAGATTGTTTTCGGGGGCAGTTACTCGGTAAGTGGAAACACAGACATGAACAAACACAGTGGAGCTGATTACTTCACCATGATGGCAGTATTGAATGTGTCTCTGTTGTTTCCAGGGGTAACGCTGTGCAGAGGGAAGGCAGGATGAGCTACGCTGAGTTCGTCTGGTTCCTCATGTCGGAAGAAGACAAGAAAAATCCCACCAGGTGATTTACAATCGTTCGGTCCTGCGTGATTTAGCATCTGTCAGAGCAGTTACTCCCCCCGCGTGTGTCTAATAAACATTTAGAATCCCAGGTGTGTAATTCATTGTGCGTTTGTTGTTTCTCCCTCCAGTATAGAGTACTGGTACCGCTGCATGGATGTGGATGGCGATGGTGTTCTGTCCATGTTTGAGTTGGAGTATTTCTATGAGGAACAGTGTGAGAGGATGGAGAGGATGGGCATCGAACCGCTGCCCTTCCAGGATTTGCTGTGCCAGATGCTCGACCTGGTCAAACCTGAGAGTTCAGGTTAGCGTCAACACTCACTCTTTTTAAGAAAGTGGCATCTTGCTTCTCACCCTTGCTTTCCAAACTTCACACCTACTGTACGTCTGTTTGTGTATCTGTTGTTTTCTCCAGGTAAGATAACCCTTGGTGACTTGAAGCGCTGTCGGATGGCCCACATATTCTTCGACACCTTCTTCAACCTGGAGAAATACCTGGACCACGAACAAAGAGACCCATTTGCTGTGCAAAAGGTGAGCATTCGCATCCGTATGTGTCATACAGCCAAATTGCAGGAGCTATCAATTTGAAGGGGAATACAGGATTTTGATTTCCTTCCTGCAAAAGAGAAAATCGTTTTTTTAATAATTTTGTAATTTTTTTTTAATACAATAGACTGCTTTGACTGATTTACTCCCATTATATCTCCATTCATATCGCTACTAGACACATGGGTTTTGATACATCCACATTCCCAGGTTTCATTTTGTATTGCCATGAAGTAACTACTCTTTTTGTGCTTTTTGTTGTGTCTTGTCATATCTTGTAAAATAAACTATGAACTCCTCTCTTTCCTGTAAAAGACTGATAGTTGCTGTGTCTGTGTTGTTTCAGGACGTTGATAGTGAAGGTCCAGAGCCATCGGATTGGGACAAATATGCCTCAGAAGAGTATGAGATCCTGGTGGCAGAGGAGAATGCAAACGAGCAGCTTCACGAAGGGTACGAGACACACACACACACACACACACACACACACACACACACACACACACACACACACACACACACACACACACACACACACACACACACACACACACACACCATGTATACATTACTTCAGGGGACATTACATTGACGTATCCTAACCATAACCAACACATGCCTAACCCTAACCCTAACCAATTATTCACCCTAAAATGTATGATTCCCCTCATGGGGACCTCCATTTTGTCCCCATAAGGGAAGCCAGTCCCCAAACATGACTGTGTAAACAGATTTAGGTCCCCACAAGGATAGTAATGCTAGGCCACACACACACACACACACACACACACACACACACACACACACACACACACACACACACACACACACACACACACACACACACACACACTCTCTCTCTCTCTCTCTCTCTCACACACACACACACACACACACACACACACACACACACACACACACACACACACACACACACACACACACTAACCAACACATGCCTAACCCTAACAAGGTGAGTCCCCAAACATGACTGTGTAAACAGATTTAGGTCCCCACAAGGATAGTAATGCTAGGCCACACACACACACACACACACACACACACACACACACACACACACACACACACACACACACACATACACACACACACACACACACACACACACACAACTCACCTTTTCTATCTTGCCTTCAACTCCTAATCCACTAACCCCTCGCCCTTATTCCACCTAGCTTAGCACTTTTTTACTTTTGTTGTTATTTTGTTTTACTTGCTTGTAAGCACTTTGAGCACCAGGAAAAGCGCTTTAGAAATGTAATGTATTATTATTATACATGCCTATGTGCATCTCCAAGTATTGAAATACACAATATGGTATCTGAAGATGAGTTTGTTTGTCAGGACAGTTAAACTATAATTCAAATTAACCCGTTTTGCTGTGTGTTGTGTTTTCAGGTCTTTTGATGATGACTATGAGTCCGAGGAGCTTCAAGTCTCAGGAGAGATCGGGAATAAAATGGAAAAACTGGTCATTTCCGACCTGTCAGCATAAAACTCTTCCCTGGATTCTTGGGTATTTTTCCTGGAAAAAAATGGATTGAAGGTCCCTTCAGAGTGGAGCACCAAAAGAAGCATGGACATAAAGACAGAGGGAAACATCTGTCTCTCGATGACTCTGGAGCCTCCTCAGAGCGGACTCATCGTTTTTCGTGTGTTTGTGTGTGACCGTAAACCAGTACTGTTCTGTGTCTGGTGCAATATCACTTCTGTATTTATACAGAGAACTGTTTCACTGCCTCGTGCTCTTTGATCCGTCCGAGAGAACAAAGCGAAAGATGGTGGGGAGAAATGTACTATAAGCTCTTAAAGTAATCAAGACAAATAATCTCTGTGTACTTATAATGTAAATGTGAATTTTTATACAGACAATCCTGCCAAAAGACAATCATCTGAAGGTAGACAGACAGAGACCTAGTTACACAAACAGTGTCCTAGTTATAGGATAAATATGGAGACAGAAATGGACAATTATTGTGATAGGAACTGAAAAAGAGCAGTCATCTGCTCAATAATGACACATCCAGACAGACACTGCCATCAGTAACCTGCTGCCCGCACAGCATGTCACTGTGCTCCTTGTTAAAGGAAGTTGTTAAACCTCCAGTCCCTTCAGGGAGGAATCATGTATTGCTGATTGTAACAGCACCTCTCTGTGGCCAGTCTGTGTCACTGCAGGACATCACAGTCACTCGGTGCATAATGGCTGGCCAATTTTTCCAAGAGAGGGAGTTCAGTTTACTGCACAGCCTGAGCTGCTCTATTATTAGTGCAGCACTATAAGCGCTCCACCTCTGGACTCCCTTTGCAATTATTTTTAAACCCTAGAAAAAAAGTGTCTGACCACAGTCAGGCCACAGTGAGACATATGCACATAAAATGATGCGTGTTGACAAACATATCAAACTCTCTGGTAGAGTTTCCCACACATTTCCACCTGTAACCTTTGCAATAATGCAATAGCATAGGAGATGTGAGCTGTTCCTGTCACTCATGCAATTATTCAGCACACAGTTTTTTTCTCCCTTCCTTGTTGATTATGTACAGTACCTGGTTATTACGTTGATCTGTTTCTGAAATTGATGCCAACATTTTTATTTGTTCCGCTTAAACATCTCTTTGTCATGAAACGTTTGATAATGAAACTTTTTTTACACACCACTGCCTTTTTAAAGGGACACGTCCCCCAAACAATGGCTATTCTCACACCTTAGGTATTATAGCCTGCAGATAGTTTTGGTTTGATTTGCAAAAGTGTTAGGAATCTTTGCGATTTCACCTCAACCATATTGCAGTGCAAATAAGGGGAATTTAGTTATATTTAAGCTTCTTCATTTTTCTAGGCTTTTTGCAACAGCGTCCTTTTTTAATTGGTATTGTATTTGCAGAAATCTCAGAGATGGATACATTACAATTCAATAAAATCAGAACTGTTCACATACATAGATATACTTAGTTAAATGTAGCTTTTTAATTTGAATAAAACGACCCTTTATCTCTATCACTCCCAGAGACAGCTGCATGTGAACACTGCCCTTACTGTAATAGCTAGCAGTGTGTGCTCTCGGAAATCATGATACAGGGGTGTGTTCTAGGAGCGTGTGATGTGTAGCTCTCAGTTTTCGGGCTGATAATACGTCATAGTTGTTGCCATTGGATGTGGTTCCCAGGGTCAGAGTGTGTGTGCACGCTAGCATAACTCTTTAATTAGGAAAGGGACAGCTTTGGTCCCCAATGGCTTCAAATTCACTGCCATATACCTCCTTCACAGACATTTACTGTACACACACACACACACACACACACACACACACACACACACACACACTTTAGTTGCTATCAAAAGGGAGAACGCGAGTGGATGCTGTAAGGACCTTAAGTTGACCCTTTATGTTCTATTGCCATTGTAAATGTGCCTGACTGTGTATTAAATATATTATTATAATAATAACTAATGATAAGCCATTATAGATATAACGGCTGCAATTTGTTGTTGTATTTTGATGGTTTGTATTGCTGTGCCACTGTGTGGCTCGGGATAAGGGGGGTAAATTATGATGGATGGATGTATGTATGTTTGTGTGTTCGATGCACGGTGGATATCATCAGAAGAAAATGAGGATTTGACAATCACAACATATGAGACACATCTCACGTGGAGACCTCTGGGACTGATGCTTTTTCTCGCTGTGGCGACACACACACACTCACACACTCCCAGGGAGACCAGCTGATGGAGACAGTGTTTGAGAAGAACTGTTGAAGGCATTGGGACTCCGATTGTGTCATGATGCAGCATCAAGCCGGGAGAAAAGCCATGCAAAACTTTTACTTTGAAATTAAATCTCTACTTTGATCTGTAGACGGAAGACTTTTATTTTGATGTACTTCCTCTGTGCAGAGGAGACTTTAGTAGGCTGAGACGTGTTCAAATACTGATGATTATTGTATTGGCATGGCTTTCTTTCTTTCTTTCTTTTGTTCTTTTGTTCTTTTTTCCTTACCAACGCCCTTCTCTTCTTTCCCTTTTCTTTGCCCAGCGCTGTCATTTGTTGCTTTTTTTGAAGTTTAAAAGTTTAAATAAAAATATGTTTCAAGAATAATAACTCTCCTTGAAGGTTTTTTACGGTTGCCTACGTACAACCCCCTCCTCTCCCCTCGGACACACAAACAAGTCACACACACGTTCGTCATCCAGCCCTCCTTGTGTACACACACAGTGTACAATAAGTGTGTTTGTCTGCACTGAGGCTCAGCAGAGTGTGCTTTACAGCCTTTTAAAGTTCTGAGTGTCTGGCGTTCTGACCTTCTACCTGAAGGCTGACTTATTTGGCATCCATATCAAGAACTTCAAACTAGAACATGATATCCTCTTTCAAAAACGTTTAAATTGATACTGTTAACACTTCAAGGTTGGTGAGGTTTTTAGAGTTTGTTTCTGTCCTCAAGTACAAGGGGTGATTAGCTCATTTCATCAAGGGTACTCAACACTCATGTCTTGGACTGCTACTGGCATACCTGACGTCAGCAGCTCTGTACCGAATCGCTTGCGTCACTGTTGTCATGAGAAACATTGGACCAAAACAGGAAGTCCTGGATTTTCTTTGTCTCATAGATAGTTTTGTCAATGTAATTTGGTACAATTCATTTGTGGGGCTTTTCAAGTGGACCCTTCTGGTACTACTAAGTGGGATGACTTCTTTACCAGTATCATCATCCTCATCCTTCCCCTCTTTAGTAGAATATCATCTGTGTCCTCAACTATAGCAACTATAATCAGGCAACTTTTAATGTCTCTACCAATCTATGTTGTAGATATTGAGATACTTTACAGGGTAACTTTAACATTTGACTTTCTGGAGGCAATACAAGAGATATAAGAGAATCGGATAAAAATCAGTACCACATTTCATGGCAAAGTGTCCAATAGTTGTTCAGGTATTTACTGACATGTTCATCCTTAAAGCCATGACACTAACATGTTGGGATATATCGAATATCGCGATATGACGGTAAATAAATGTCTCAATACCGTCGTGAGACTGACAAAATCTACCGTGATTTAAAAAAATTTAAATAAATTTTTTTTTTTTTTTAAACCTTTATTTAACCAGATGGTCCCATTGAGATCATCGATCTCTTTTTCAAGGGAGACCTGTCCAACATGGCAGCAAGTAGGTTACAACATGAACATAAAACAACAGATAACACAAAAGGACATGGTATTTACAGGGCTACATGTACATACCTAGAGACATTGACAAGTACCAACAGTATATTTAAATCTCGCCCTGTCAATAAGCCTCACCTTCTTGGCAAAAACTGTATTGTTTTTGAAGTGGTGGAGAGACAATGCACAGTTTTATCCACTGCTGTCACCCATGGCCAAAGCATATCTCTCTGTCCCAGCAACATCAGTACCAAGCAAGAGAGTTTTTTCCACAGCAGGGGATATTGTAAACGCCCAAACATCCCAGCTTCTACCTGAAAATGTGGACATGCTCATATTCCTAAAAGATAACCTTGATGATGGTGAGTGAGTGAGTTAGAGTTGAGTTACTTGAAAAACTAAAGTGAAACTTGATTTATTCTATTGCAGAGTCTGATTATTATATTGTTGACACTTTAAAATACTACTATCCTACTAAAATGCTGTACAAATCAGATTTATTATTTAATAAAGAAAAGATAATTCAATAATAATAATAATAATTTTTCAATATCGCGATAAATATCGTACCGTGGACTTTTTATCGCGATATTATCGTGCCGTGAGTTTTTGGTATCGTTACATCACTAATAAGTAATACAAACTCATATAAGCAATGGAAGTACTTTGTTTTTAACATTGATTTTACTTTCATTAGGCATTTAATATATGTTTAGACATTGATACTGTGCTATTGATCTCAACCATACTGTCGATTCTCCAAAGTCATCAGAAATTTCCATCAGATATGAATGGCTTTGATCAACAAAGTGTGCCGACTCCTTTTACTGAAACACTTATTTCTCATCCAGCGCACTCAACTCTCTCTCAGTCGCCACACATTGTTCTGAGCTGGAAGAAAGGAGGACCTCGCTCTTCAGATTCTATCACCCTACAGAGGGAGGGCAGATAAAAAAAAAAAGAAAGAGGCTAAGCGAGAAGGTAGAGTTCCTTGTCCTCTGTTACATGGCGGGACAGTAATGGTCTACAGGAGGAAGCAGGATCCCGTTTCAGAGCAGAACAATAAAGCCTAGAGGCCAGCAGGAAAGGGCTGACTCGGTGATTTTCAGTGTGTGTTTTTGTATTTGCAAGCTTGCATGTATTTTCCTCTGTATGTTAACAGGACAGCTGAGGACATGCAGAACACTATGGCCCCGTTATATTGACCCAGACACATTACTATACACAGTGGCTGTCACTCGATCAGCCTTACTGAGACAGGAGTCAACACATTAAACTCCAGCCAGCTAATGCCCTCTGAAGACTATCGATGCATCTTCTAAATGAATAACTATACGCCCAGTCACACATTTGCGCAAATATGTGCATGACGTCTTTCTTTTTCTTCCTTTGGCAGTGATGACTCAAAATGAAGATCACACACAAATTTGCCCCTTAATGGAATTTTGCCTTCTGCTGCTTTCCTAAAAAAAAAGAAGCACAACAGCCAAAGAATGCTATGCAGTGCGTCTAAGTCCTCGATGTAATGTATTGCATGTTAAGCTGCGTGAATATTGAGTCACATTTGTGTGTCTGAGTGTGTGTCTTCTGTGAGCATGTGTGTTCCAGAGATGCCATGTACCTTGACAGCAGGCGTGACTCCATCCTCAGTAGTGCTCTGCCCATTCTGTTGAGAAAGCAAATGTGAGAAACAGTCAGAGTGTGTGACAGAGACAATATCACGCGTGCGTGCGTGCGTGTGTGCGTGTGTGTGAGACACAGAAAGAGCGAGAGAGAGATACAAGAGAATATGTGCAAGACTGTGTGGGTGGTCCACTGTTTCCAGCACTTTGCTCTTCTGCTGGCAAACCTAATAATCTAAGGCCAACACACAAATGCACATCGTTCCCCAGTAGGTACGGCTTGCAAAATAACGGGTAATCATTGTTATTTGTAAAACAAAAGGCTGGCTAAAGGCTATTTTAGAAAACATGTTATTAAATGGTAGAAATGGGTGGCTAACTTAGATTTTATGTTACATAATTAGATGTGTATATGATTATGTTGCACACACTGGTAGGACAAGGAAAATGGTAAGCAGAGGAAAGTGGTGATTTTGTTAGATATGATATCATTTTTTTAAAGTAGGGGCCATCATGATGACAATTTGATTCACATTTCATTGCCGATCAAAGGTCTACAGGGAAGCAATACATAATAAGTAAGGTGGGAATTAAGATAGAGGACTTAATCGTGTGGGGAATAGATTGTAGTAATTTACACTTGGGACAAAGGAGAGGTTTGTTTTCCCTCTGGACCCCTGGCCATTTAGCCAAAGAGATTGCTTCTTTGTGTAAACTGTTTAAACTAAGATAGGATCGAGGAAAGCAGTGCTGAAACCATCCAAACAACCTATTAAAAGTCAAATGCAATTTTTGGTTGAATGTTTCAAATCATGACTTGTATTATCAGCATTAGCATAGTACCTACAGTATTACAAACAATAAAGTGCAGTGTATGTGATGGATCCTATTTTGTTTGTTATGATAAAATAAAATATAAGCCCAAATACTTATTTACAGATAATACAAAAAATTGAAATTCATATTTACTGTTATTTGTATTCATCAATCCCAAACCGAGTTCAGCCAAGTAATGTTTCTCAGATTTGTTAAAGCACCGGCAGAGCTACAGAAGACTACGATACAATGCCCTTAAACACACAGTCTGACTAATCCCTGTTAATAATACATTGACCTTAACATGAACATAAATATTGGATGATAACTGACCCCTAACAATTGTCAAAGAAATCAAAGTCAAGTTTTCTGGCCAAGTGTGAGAACATCTTAAAAAACTACCCAACCCCCTTTTCCGTTTTCACTTTGTTTTCCCATTATAGAGGGGCGACCCTGATTTTCACTTCCTTCCTCCAAGCCCTTTTCCCTCTTCCCTCTTCCTTCAAGACTGCACAAAATATAACAGGCAGTCCACACAATGACAAGCAGTCCACACAATGACAAGCAGTGGCCATAACAATCAAACACTAAACAGAAGGCTATACAGCAGTGCAAAACATAAAGGAAGCACAGGCAATGACAAGGAAGCGACTTTGATAAGCTCTTGTATACTCAAAAGGAAATAAAAAGACTTTTCTGCAACATCGGGCAGTTTTATAAACCAATAGTTCATCTGGATGGACTTTAATGATGATCTCAAGAGAGGTAATTACATTTGGGAAAACTGTTCCAGCAATAAAAGCTATAATGTGAGGTGACAGGAGAAATGGAAACAATTAAGCGGCCAAATCGATTTCGAAGTCATGCACAGATGTGTTTTAGGAGTAGTCATTTCAAAGGAGAGGAAGCCCAGTGTGTGTTGTAACAATGGGCCTTGCAGATAAATTCAATCTCAAATCGAAATCTTCCCAAATCAGTCCACATAATTACTCTTCCCTTCCTCTCTACTCATATGCCATCAGTCAGGGGTGTGTGATAGGCTTTCTTTAACTCAGTGCTGTGAAGCCAATGGTGTGAATCTTAAATGTGTAAGTGACACTGTCTGAGTGTCTGTGTGTGTGGTCAACAATTCCTTCCCGACGTTGCTGCTCAACACATTTCAACCTCATTAGCTTTGCATGGTTGATCCAAGTGGCCCAGTTAATGGTGCTTTCCCTCCCCTGGGCTTCCTGAATGAGAGCACAGGCATGCACAGCCCCATATATATGCTCAAGACGAAGCAGTTAATAAACAAACGTGACTTAGAAAACAACCCAAGAAGTGCATGAACTATACTGTGCAGATACACGTATAGAAATAAGCAATACAATATGCACACAATTTACTGGAAGACATTTCACGCCACAAGCATGCTGTAAAAAGATTTATAGACCAACGTATTAAACCTGACAGAGCCAGACGGAAAACCTTTTAATTTCTCACAGGACTCCTATGATTACGCAAGGTAAACAATCTCAAGAGCGCTGATGCTGTGTGTGTGTTTGATAGATAAATCTGTGTTTTAACAGCGTGATTAGAGCAGCAATGCCCTGTAACTAGGCAACTAAGAAATACAATAACCATTCCTTTGTCTGTGCATGTACTATCTGTGTACACTTCTTGTAATCTCACCCGCCAGTGAGAACTGACAGCAGGTCAATGCCAGAAAATAAACAAGCGGTATTTCTAGTAGTCTAGTTTAATATCTGCAAAAAGGCTCCTTCCCAACATAGGCAGACACACCGTCTTGGCTTCACTCACAGGTTAACTTTTAACTCTGAAGTTCAAAAGAAAGACTTTTTTTCTGAGAGCTGCTATCAGGCAAAGGTTTTTGTTATCACATGCCCACTCAGCCCTGCTCCACTCCCACAGCTCTGCTCAGGTGTTCAACACGTGACACCCAGATTAGCTGCAGCTAAACCTTTACCTGCATTGCACGTACACAAAAGAGAAAAAGCACAAATGTGAACTACACAGCTTGCACACACTCACACAAGTACTAAAGTGTGCACTGCTGACCACACCTGGTTTGCAAACATGGCACACATTCCTTATGTCAACCCTATTTTCTCCTCTACATGGCCTGTTACGTAATAGCCGAAAAATGAAAAGCATTCTTTCTCCTCCGCCATCAAGGCTTGTACAATCCTGCTCCTAACGTCTTGGCTTATCCTGTCTCTCTTTGAGGCAACTTTTTCTTTTTAGTTTGCTAGGTCTCTTCTCCTCTGACAATAGATGTATATGATTTTAAGCCACAATTGGTGGACTGAGGTCTAGATGCCAATCGATTGAAAATGTTATACGGCTGAGATTTCACATAGAAGTTCAAGTTGAAAAGCGGCCAGTTCAGTTCAAAGCGATAAAAAGAGAGGCTGAAAGGAAAAATAATGCATTAGGAATTAATATAATATAACAAATTCATAAGTGGGCATCAAACAAAATCAAATTGAACAAAACAGAGGTTGTGGACAGAGACAAGCTAAAAAGGTCTCATCAAGATACAAAAACAAGCAGAAATCAAAGATGAAGTTCAAGTGTTTGCTTTGTTTACCCATTTACCTTGCTGTCAGCCAACCCTTTCCAAGTGGGAACTAAAGCTTTATCTATGCTCTTTTCAAAGCCACTAGAATCCTTTCACAGAAAAAATAATTTAACCTCGCAGAACAATGGTCGCTAGTCTACTGCTGCCTCAATGGTCAGTCAGTTTGTGTCAATGTGCGTTATTGGTGGTTTCTATAGTTTCACAAAAGTCCCTTGATAACAAAACAAAAAAATCAGATCAGCAGCGCTAGACGAGCATCCCCAACCGCCATCTGTTGTAGATAATACACTGACTATGGATAAACATAGGGTACTGGTCCACTTTTAAAACATTTAAACTTTCCATTTACAGGATTTGGATCCATTAATATTTTGGAGGAAATCTAAACACTGACAGAAGCATGATTCCGATATTTTGCAGGAACGTGCATGGCCAATGCAGGTGGTAGTGACTCAACTGGGACAGGATGGTGATGATTTGTTGAAGTGCTTTTATCAGAAATGATTCACTGAGAAGTTAATTCATAACAGATATGGTTTGATGATGAATAAAAGGGCTCGATCCAACTAATTTGAATAGCTCTATTCATTGAACGCTTGCTTTGCACCAGCTTTACAAAAGCCACTATATCAAATGTTCCCTATATGACACCTTCCAAACAAAAGCACTTGCACAAAGAGTGATTGGGAAACAAACTTCCCATCAGCTGCCAAAACACAACAACACACTCTCTGTTTGAATAAATGCAGAAGAGAATGGTTTCTTTGATGGATTATGTATCTTCTGTCCTTTATTTTCCAAATCTGCCAAAAGTTTGTCTCAGTGTCTGTCCCATCTGTCTGTATGACAAGCAGACCCTCGGCTGTGCCACCCGCTTGACTCTCCCAACATGTTCGCTGGCACGCCTCCAGACTCAGTCGCTCTCTCTGCTCAATCAATCTGAGCCCTGAGCCGTTTCTCTCCGCCATCAGGAACCCAAGGGTGCAGCTGGCTGGTAGGTTGGTGACAGAGATAAATGGCACGGATCCCACATTGACTGGCGTGTTCAAATCAATTACAGATACTGGATTTTGGTGGACATGGGCAGCCAAAAGTAATCTCTCCTTATAATATATATATATATATATAGGCTGATAACTATACTCTATCTTTAGCAATGAGCTCACACACTGGTTACCAAAGATGTGTGACTATTACACATTCCCAAGGCAGGGTATTTCTTACAGTAATAAACCTGCACTCTTCACAGCTCCGCAACACCATCTGTTCAGCTGTTATACGTTACTCAGCCAACTCATATGCTGAAGAATTCTGTAAATAGTAGAGTTTGTGAACAAAAAAACTGAACAACAGTGTTGTAAAACTGCTTCTTTCTGCACTATTTGAAGCTTGAATCATTCATTATAAAAGCACCGGTAATAACATCGGACTGATTTTCAATTAACTTTGTCTGCAAGAGCACAATAAAGAATATATTGTAAGTTCCCCAATAGTGGAAGTGCTCTACTGATTCATTGCATAGCGTAATGAGTACTTGTCTTTCATGAATTAGGCCTCACATGTTATGAGAAAACTCAGTTTTCATTACATTCTTGGAAATTATTTCCTCAGCTTCGTCATCAAACCGGAGGTTATCTAGACAGAGAGATGGGAAAATAAGCCTAATTTATAAATCAGACTGATCTCTTGTACAGCTGATTGAGGACAATGTGTTCTATTGTGTGCCGAGCTGTTTATCAGAGAGATCAGACTTACAAAACATTGCCATGACAGCTCGCTTCACCTGCTTAGTCTAATGACTAATTCAATTGAGGATTTCCTTAGATGACCCTAAGGATATTGTATTCGAAACGAGGAAAACAGATTTTTTTGGAAACCTGTGTAGCCAAATGTGAAACAGATTGCATCTGCGCAGCCACTATCTGCTCATCATAACCATAATGTGATAGATGCATATTCACTTAGCAACCAGCCTGTTCAAGAGCCAATTGAAGAGTTCATGAATAATAATGCTATCAGAATAAAAGGGGTCTGGATACACAAGCATCACAAATCCCTATCGCTTCCCTTACCCTAAAAGCTCTGGAAAACATTCAATCTTTCCATGCTCAACAGTGTCATCCTCTACCTGTTGTGTAGTATTCAGACACAAAGCAGTTTTTCACCTCTGCAGAGGATACACACACTGCCACAGCAAGAGACTGGTGGCACAAGAGTGGGTGTTAAAGAAACTGTACATCTTTAGAATAAGAACAAGGAAAAAGAGTAATTCTGCAACACATTACTTTCACTTAAAGTACACATAGCAAACGAAGAGCTTGCATGTACCCCTTTTTTAAGTTTGTGATACATGTGTGAGAATACTTTTGAGATTTCCTTTAGTTCACACATAGGTTGTTTTTCTCTCTGCTGATGGAGCTTTAAGATGGAGTTGGGCTAAAGCTCCAGTGAAAGCCCATACATTTAAGTATTTCAGAATTTAACTCTGTAATCTACTTTGGGTGACAATAGAAAACGCTTACATGAAGAGGTTACAATTAAACTTTCCCTAAGATAGTCAGGACTGCCAGCAATAAAAAGGAAAGTCTCCAAAGTGTGGGATTCAAGTGAAATGGACAAACTATTTATGGGATAATGTCTTGCATTTCTAATGTGAAACCCTTACATACATTATGAATTATTAATTGAGTTTATTTCCCCCAGCTAAGTATGTAGGCTATAGTTTGAATAACTTTTTCCAGAAAGTGGCAACACCTTGAATCGAGGGCTATAAGGTGCTCACACCTTGTGCGCCATTTTACCTGAACCAATCAAACTCAATCGAATAGACTGGTCAAACAATGCATGCAAAAAATAGCGTCGACATATTTCACCTCTCATTACCTCCGTTTCGAGCTGCACTAGTTCCATGGTGGGCCATGGCTCAGCGATCTGAGCGAGAGGCATTTTCGCAGGATTCTCAGTTTCCCAGTAGCAATTCGGTCGGTGCCGCTCCTGTCAACTGCAGTTCACCAAGAAGCTCCTTCCTCAGGTCGAAAGTCCAGGTGGAGTGGGTTTATCAGCACGTTGCTCTCTTATTTGAAAAGGAGGCGCGCATGCAGACGCTGCACGCGCAACCAAGGCTTTACAAACAACTGTAATCCCTGGGTTTGACTCCGGTGGCGGCTGGCCACTTGTTTGTATCTATCGAAAGTGATAATCCAGTTGAAAACACCATGAACCAAACAAACCCTCTTGTCCGTTCAGGTACGCGCGTTGGCTATACTCGGGATTTTTGGTTTGACAGGCGGGAGAGCAAAGCCAGGCTGCAGTGCGGTCCGGATAGACCCGTGCGGGAGGCTCGTGCCACCTGAAGGAATTAACCAGAGTCCGTGCTGTCTTGGCAAATCGACACCGTATCAGATCTTCACGGCTTCCTCCCCTTGTGATTTATCCCAGGTCCCAACAGTGTGCGAGGCGATGCGCGCAGAGACCTCAGTGTGGCTCTATAGTACGAGCAGGCTCAAACTCGAGCTGGGATTGGCAGACTCCTGCAGGATTTTAGCCAGCCCCCTCTTATAATAGATCCGCCCAGGTCTGATCGTGCCATCAGCTGGCGGAGAGATGAACTGCAAATACGTAATGCAGACAGGAGCCTGCTATTAATGAAAGGCCTGATTTCTCTCATAGGCTACTTGTGATGCATCTGCAGGTGCATCATAATTGATCCTCCTCGCTTAAAGTCACTCAATTCGGCTAATAAATGTGAATGAATGGCAGACAAATAGCACTAGGCTGTGGATGCATAATGTGTAGTCAATTTACTAATCACAAACATAATTGCAGTGTGCAACTTTTGATGTTTGCCTTTCCCAAACACAGTAAGTGTAGACCTACACCACCACTTCCTCTAGGTCTAAAAACAACACACATTGTTGCAAAGAATTACATAATAGATTACACAAGAAATGAAATGTCTAGTATCCGGGTCCTGACCAGTGCTGTTATTCTGTTCGGACATCACATTGATGAAGCACACTTTTCATTGACAAGAACTCTTTTAATGGTCCTTGAAGTATTCAGTGATATAATACAGCCCTCCACCCTCCCAACACTTCTCTGCTTCATTCACTGCCGAGTGGATTTTGCCTAGCTTCGGTTACTATTGGCAACTGCAGAGCATCAAACCACCGTGAATGGGAAGGACACCATTTTTCATTCAAATTAGGGTAGGCATTGCACGTCATGGAATCATAAAATAACAATTAATCAGTATGATGTCGGAACCTGTCTTTCGGTGGATTTGTTGGTAAACGACTTTAAACACAAAATAAAGCTGCATTGAGGAAGCCTATTTATTCTAAGACCTACTGTCTTTCTGTGACAGGTTAAACACATCTGAACTGGAGACGAAAACCTTTATATCTTTTATAATTGCATATCATGTTCTAGACACGTCTGTAGCTTTTGGACTTTGCTTCCAAGCTGTTAACATGCAACACCTTGTCTTTTGCACCTATCCATGCATCCGTTTCTAAATAGGACATGTCAGTATTCCTGCACATATAACTTACATGATTCATATTTTTGAAGTGATGCTACAGATTTATTTTAATGCCTGCTTGTTGGCACCTTTTACTCCACATTTCCATTTCAAAATGGAAGGAGAAGAAAGTCAATTTATAGGGAGAGAGCTGTTATGGTTCACATGCAGCTAATTCATTTTCTGACAAATCCATACCACCAAAGGGTTGGAAGCAGGCTGGGAAGTAAGATTACAACACGGCGGGGGAGGGTTATTCATCACTCTAACATTGTATGTAATATTCAAAGTCTCTGCCCTCCCAAAGCTCACATGAACCATTGATTTGTCTGGATGATGGATAAGCAGCTGCTACGGGATCACTCATAGCATCTCATAATGCTATACTACTGTTTGTTGTTCAGTGTAGCTGTGTGGAGGACCATGCTTGTTTTCTTTTGGACTGAGGCTCGGGAATGGGAGGGTAATCTCTTTTATACCCTCTTGATGATCTCCAAAAATCAATACATTGAATAGGATGAGGCCATGAGGAAACAGACCCCCATCAGAACCACTTTGACATGTTGACCTTGCAGCTGCAGGGTCATTGCTATTTTGACTGCAGGGAATCTCGTCTTCATGATGCATCAGTGACATCACAGCAGGCGACAGCGGTGACTCAGAGGTGTCTCCCGTCCAGCGACAGAGACTCCAGGGATACCCTACCCCCCACCGTCGGATCGACAAGAAGCATCATGGGTAATATGACTCAGTCCTGCTTGCATGCACGTGCAATGGAGCAAAACTCCACCCTGAAATGCTAGTGCATTAACGCAGGAGCGAAGTGTGCTGGGCTGTTAAAAAAAAAGATGGCATTTCGTCCCCAAAGTGACAAACTGCAATTAGATACACTGATGTAAAGATGACAGCGCTGTTTAACCTCATTTTCAGTTTGAGTTGAAACCACAGTGGTGGATGAGACAGAGAGAGATGTTAATATGCAAAGGGACAAACAATGAATATGTAATTCCCTGCTCTCTAGGCACACATAGCCATAAACAGTATTACAATGGAAATGCTTGCATACTCAGGTCCTAAAGTGGCACTCTGCTCTGAGACAGCTTCTTCAAATTATTCTGTTCATTTATTACTGCTGCTTTCTCTGATTTATGCCTTTTCTTTTACTTCATTCAGTCCCACTGACAGACTTGTGTATATTTTAAACTGAGTTCATATTGTGCGTCTTTGTTGTATTTATGTATTGCTTTTGATTTATGTGTCTCGTTTTCTTTTACTATTTGTTTCTGTCTTTCAAATGTGATACATAACCGTAATATTATTTTCTTACTCACTGCACTTACTAAATCAGAATCTGAAATTAGGTGAGAGCAGGTTAATTTACATAAAACACATTCTCCCTGTGTGTTTCGGCCTCTTCAATAGTAACAACTCAGAGGTACGCACCATATTTTCAAGAGGAAACACAATGTATTTTGATGTGTGTTTGGTAGAATTACTTTCCAAGAGCCACAAATCTTTCTGATAATTAGTCTGAATTACTTTTCCTTTCTCAACCTCCATTATAAGGATGAGTAAACCTGAATTGCATCTAAAGTAGATTACAGTGGTTAATGCTTCGATCAAACGTGTAGTTAATCCAAGGGATTATTTGAATTGATTTAAAGACAATTCATTATTACATCACAACCCTTGTGGTGCAGATACTGTAAATATGGCATGGTAAAACTAATTGACGTGGTATTTTCTGCTACAATACTGTATTTACAGTTAATGCAATCTCAGTGTTTCAGTATACATCTAAGGCTGTGGAAGTGTCAGGTTTCCACAACATTGCTTTTAGACCTTTGATAATAATTATTCCAATCTTAGCTGAGCTTGATGAGCTCATGTCTGCAGTGCAGGGATCAACGCCATCCGTGGGGGTGCAGCACAGAACAAATTAATTAGCTGCTCAACGGTGGGGCAGGGGTAATTATCCAATCCCTGCTGACTGGCTATTAAAAACTGGCTCTTTGCTGTACAGAGATAATGAAAAAATAGCGTTCAAATTGTCATTCGTCAGAGAAACGGACTGGAAGGGGGATTTTAATATCATTCCTACTGGTAAAGAAGAACGGAGAAGCACTTTAGTTTGACTCTTTCTCTTCTTAGTGGTGGAGTACGATCTTGTTTCAGCTCCAGATGCATAACAGATTCTACTGACTGCATGTTCTTACGACTGTAGTGATAGGTGTGGTGTACAGGAACAGCATGTTGAGGCTTGAATTTGTAGCTCTGGTATTTGGGCAGGGCACACGGTCCTAACAGAGAACCACATCTGAGGCCAGGTTTAGCAAAAACAAGCTACAGCAACGCAGCACTGTGTCTTTCACTGAGGAATGGATAGCTATTGTAAAGAATGAAAAATGTCTACACACATAAACAGACTGTTTATTTTGTGTTATTCATTATCTGGAAAAAAATCAGAGCAGCAGAAAACTTGATCCAATATTGTGCCACAAAGGAGTGGCTATAAAAATGCAAATCGAAAACCCTTATGAAAAGATGACACTACCGATAAACACAGTTTTCAGTTTCTGTTGAAGGCACAACAGTGGAGGAGACAGAGTGATGTTACGAACGCAGAGGGACAAACAATGATTCATACAATAGGTAGTCCCCTTCTCTCTGGAGACATACAGCCGTAAACAGTGCTATTAAAATGGAAATGGATGCATACTCCAGATGGCAGCCTGTTGAAACCACATCTTGACATTAATCTGTCCTTTTATTACTGATGCTTTCTCTGATTTCTGACTTATTTTCACACTGGCATAAACATGTGTTCTTTTAATCTATGTTTATTATGCATCTTCGTTTCTTTATTCCTGGCAGAGGTGGAAGATGTACTCAGATCTTCATCTTCCTATTATACACACATGCATTTCCAAACATTTGGACTACCTATGTTGCAAATGTATTATCTTTTCAATTTACACACGGCATCTATTGCACGTCTGTCCGTCCTGGGAGAGGGATCCCTCCTCTGTTGCTCTCCCTGAGGTCCAATTGATTGATTGATTGATTGATTGATTGATTGATTGATTGATTGATTGATTGATATGTACTTAAGTAGAAGTAGAAGTACCAGAGAATACTCTGTTACCAGTAAAAGTCCTTCATTCAAAATGTTACTCAAGTGAAAGTAGAAAAAGTATCAGCATTAAAATATAAGTAATAATCATGCAGATTGGCCCATTTCAGAATAATAATATCATATGTTTTGATATAATTATTGATGCATTAAAGTGTTGTCAAAGCTGGTAAAGGTGCAGCTAGTTTTAATAACTTTGTATAGTGCAGGGTAGCTTCTTAGTTTAAGCCAAGTTAAACTAAAGTCTTATTTAAGGGTTGATTCAATTGTCTATCATTAATATATCTGCAAAGTAACTAAAGGTACTTTGTAAATGTAGTGGAGTAAAAGTACAATATTAACCTCTGAATTGTAGTGGGGTAGAAGTACAAAGTAGCATAACATGGAAGTAAATGAGAAGAACTTAAGTAAAATACTTGAGTAAATCTACTCAGTTACACCACTGATTCCTCGTCTGTGAATCTCTGAGGAGTTCAGCACCAATAAGCAACAGTAACTCATCACTGCATTTCACTGAAGAATGGACCGGGCCAATGTAAAGAGTTTCTAACATTAAAAGTCAATATGCACATGAGCAAAAGTTTGGGTTTTGGGAAAGGTGGGAAAATAAGGGAAAAAAAGGAGAGTAGAAAAACTTGTATCAATATTGTCACCGGGAAAAAACAACTGTAGACCCAAGTGCAGTGAAGTGCTGGAGACTTGAGCAAAAAATGTGTACGATTTTGCAATCCATTGATTTTCCACTATAAATCATAGGCTCAATTTTGCCAGACCAGTGAAGCGATCTGTTACATTCAATTCCTTTCAGCAGAGAACATCTTGACGCAACAGAAAATCAAAAGCTATTCAGGGAGAATTCACAAAGACCAAAACCCATTTTCACTTATGCATGACTGATGGTAAAATGATTAGGCACATACTGTTTAAAACTGCGTTTCTATCATATTCAAAGTCAAACCATTTATATGTTAAGCAGCTATAAATTAGGAAACATCCTCACACAAACCACTCTTCTGCAAGGCCTGACATATTCCAGGCCTTTTGTATGCAGCACAGATATCGTCTTAATAATTACAAATATTGTCATAAAGAATAAATGCATTGTAACACTGAGCCATTTTGTCGACTGTCATATATATATTTGACTTTTTCCCTTCCTCTCTCCCTTCCCTTGTTCAAAGAGAATAACAGCAGGGGGTGCCAGATATCGGAGGGCAGTTCTTTGATGAATACAGCCTTTTCATCAGGAGTTGCCCTTTCCTTGTAGGGAAACATTCAACTGTGGATTTGTTGGAGACTGTTGTGTAATTTAAACTATGACATATTAACAACAATTCCCAAGTGAAGCTCAAAGCATTGATTCTTTCACAGAAAACCCTCAAGAGCTAAACTTGATGTCATAAGCATGAATGGAACAATCACTGCTTCTAAGTTGTTGAAAACTAACATTTTGATCATCTACGCACATTAGTTGGAGAGTATTTTTATGACCTAGACTGTATGACTCTCTTTGAAGATTAAAGACATGGAATTTTATGGAGGGATAATAGGAACTTATAGAGAATACATAATAATGTGTTAAGAAGGAAAGCTTTCTATACGACAAACCATATCATTGATTCCATTTAGTCATTTACTCTGTTTTATGGGTAAATTATTCAAGAATACCTCCCTCCAGAATCAGAATCAAGTTTATTGCCAGGTACGTTCACACATACAAAGAATTTGCTTTGGTATCCGGTGATGCAAACATAAACAATCTAAGAAAAATAATTTGCAATAGTAGGTAAAAAAAAGAAATATATAAGGATAATAAAATCATGAAAGTATTTTTTTAAGAAACAATTTAGCATAAAAAAAAGAATACTAAAGACAATTATTTACACCAAATTTAAATGTAAATATACAAAGAACCTTGATGCTTTGGTATAAACATTGATACTTAAAAAAACTCAGCAGGCAGAAATGTTCATACGATATTTGTTTTCCTTTAAGTATTGGAACACAGAGCTCAGCAAAGTGTAAAAATAAAATAGAAAAACATTTCCGAGAGCAGCCTTACCAGCAAAGAGGATTATGTCTGGTCTGGAGAACATGTTATATATTACCTTAAGTCTCGTGACAATTCATGCACCATAAGGCTTAGACTTTGCATCAGAAATTCCATGTATTTTTCTTGTATGGGATCATAACTGAGTTGGATAGGCTGTACTTTCATATTCATACAAATAAATAGGTAGTAGTTTCACTAGAATGGAGTCAAATGCAACCATAAAACGTAATAAGACCACAGGGCCAATTTTTTTGATTAAAGTGTCATTAAACAGTAGTATTGCAGGGTTATTGTAGTGGAATATATAATGCTGTACAGGTACAGGTGTTGCTGCTACCTGTGTTCCCTCCAATTGTAAGGCTTTGGGCCTTGCGCATTTCCATTGCGCATGACGTGATTATGCATGAAAGTAAAACAATGAGTTATGAATCCTTAAAGCTGCAGCACCTTTCTACTCCTCCAGGTAAAGAGGGGGTGGTGGGTTGGGTGGGAGGGGTCTTCGCTCCTCGTCGAGCCTGACAGTTCCGCACTATTGGCTGACAGCAGGGGGGGGAATCTTACCTGTACCTGTGGGAGGGAGTGCCATTCGTCATCGTCCGACTCCAAATCAGGATCAACTTTTCCTTCTTCCAGCAGCCCAAAGAGGTAGAAGTCTGCCAGGACGGCTTGGAAGTGAACGAACGACTGCTGCAGGACTCCGAGCATGGAGCCTATAACGTCGTGGAGCGAGGAGAGAGTCGGCGAGTGGCTCCAAGGTGAGGAACATACTGCGGCGGGGTGTTTGTGAGTTGTTTTTAACGCCTTGATCGCCTTTGGCTCGGACGGTTAAGTCAGGAATAGAAGCGTCACGCAAATCCTCTTGGAAGTGAAAGGTGGAGGTGGAATGAGGAAGTGGTCTGAGCTGAGAGAGAAGCCACAGGAGTGTTGATCTGATCACTGCAGTGTCAACAACTCAGGTGGTTTTAGTAGAAACAGTGGACATGGTTATGGGACGTGCTGATGGTTTTTGTATTATATCCCAGGGGGTTATAATTAGATGGTATATAGTCTAATGCTCCCACGCTGTTTTTATAGGAACACTATTACTACTAAAATATCGGCCTACAGTAAAGGTCAGCAATTATCACCTGCTGGAACGTAACTATGCAAATAAACTCAATTAAGTAGCTTTGAGGTACATGTTGAGTATTTTTGTCGTTTAGCTATACTTTTAAATTTCAGACGATAATGTTGAACTTTTTACTTGCAAAACATATAATCAGTGCATAAAATATAATGCATAACACACACAAAAAAATGTTTCCACATGGACCAACTGCAACATTAATGCTTTATTATGTCAATAATAATTAACCATAAATATACCTGACAGTGGCCATTTTGGAACTTTTTAGTACTTTTACTTCTGATACTTTAAACATATCATGTTGCTCGTGCTTTTTACCTATGTACACTACTCAAGGGTTAGTACTGTACAATGAGTATCTGTCAAGTGCAGGATTGCCATTTTTGATTGGGTAAATAACTTGAATACTTCTTTCACTGCTGGCTATACATGTCATAACACAGCCAATTGGTGCTCTTATTTTGTAACATCAAAAACCTACAGTTAAGATGATACATTCATTATTATTTCATCATCATTTTGGTAGTAAGCTTTTCACAAGTTAATTCTATATGCCAGTTTTCACAGATGCATCTTAACTGTTTTCAAACGCGCTCAACATGTGGAGCATGTCTTCATGCTTCATATCTAACTCAGGATACAAACCCTCTGATCTACATCTGTGTCCATGTTCCCTCTGCATGCCTCTGCCTGTACACACATATGACTTTATGACCTGTGTGTGGTTTTAATTTATACGTGTGCGCTGCATGACATTTAAGCCCTAAAGTGTGTCTGCTTTTGTGTCCTGCTGCCAGGTCTGGATGCTCCCCTGCATCAGTACCCAATCTCCGAATGGCATTTGTCGGGTTTGGATCTGCTCCAGCTGACTTGTCAGGACTTGGAAAAGTTGGGAGTATATAAGATTGGACACCAGGAGCTAATACTGGAGGCTGTGGAGAAACTCTGCTCTCTGGTGAGTCAAAATCATGTGTGTGTGTACGACATGTGTCCATAGCAGTGCTCTGTGTACACTGCTGTGGATATGTTGTGAACGTATTTAGTGAGGTGGGATGTACTCTGGATATTTACAGTCATCTTCTGGTCTAGCTGTGGTGTCTTGTTTGTTCTGATATTAGTACAGAGTGCCTTTTCCTTCCATCATCACACTGTTTAAAGACCCTGCTCTTACAGCAGTTATTGGACAATCTTTTGCAAACCCAGCCGGAATACACAACTGCTCCTATTGCCATAAAAGTCCTGCTTCAGTGAAGTACTCTCAGAGCCCTTAGCAACATGCAGCACTTTTGAGTTAATTGTTTCCCTTTGCACTCCCCTTTTATATCAACATTGTTCTAGTCGTGCATATCATATTAAAATTGTTACATTTAGTTTTCAAGCTTACATCAAAGGACTTGTCATGTTATAACTGCAACCACAGCATATACTATTCAACACTTGGGAGTTAATAGTCTTAAAAAAACACTTCCTCCTCCTTCTTTGATTTTCTCTCCTATTTTTTCTGCTGTCTTGTTAATTGTCCTCCCTGTCCAATTTAGAAAGGGAGGTTAAGGATTCTTAAACAGTTGTATTGGTGCGGGGGGGGGACAGTATCAGGCCAGGTTCCAGGTATGATGCTGTAACAGTCTGTGAACATGAGGCTGAAGCTCAAGCTGCTTAAACCGCTTGTTGTTGAATTGTTGAAGTTACTGTTATAGCCTACTGATTGGCTCCCATTGAACAGATCAAACACATTCAAGTACACGGTTACATAATTGATTACAATGTCGGCGAGGCCATGAAAAATTCACGGGCACTCGATGGTGGGGGACTGTTCCGGCTGGTTGATGTGCAACAACAAAGCCTGACCAGTACGAACCTCTTGACCACCGATGAGTCGGTCACGACAATAACCCGCTTCTCCTCCTGTGCTTGTAAAGAGTCATGTCTCCCACAGCTGGTCAGAAAACTGTGATGACATGCGTAGAGAGAGAAGCTTTGTGTTCTTCTGTTTACATTATCCCGTTCTACAGTGGGTTGTGGAAACTGTAATTTTCGGACTATAAGGCGCACCTGAATATAAGCCGCAGCAGCTAAATTGAATGATGTGTACATATATAAGCCGCACTGGACTATAAGCCGCAAGTGTTTTAATGTTTAATTACCATATGTAAGGGTTCGTGCACAGAGGGGATTGTCGGGAAAGAGATGGCTGTTTGAGGAAGCTCCCATTTATTAACATTTCAACAAACAAGTTGCATATTTGCATAACGTATTCAAGTGTTAGCATTTAGTGCAATAGTAGCTACAGAACATGTACTGTGCTGTGTAAACTATACTGTATCACATAGCGTTTCAGACACACAAACTTTTCAACTTTCAAACTTAAACGGCACGTACCGGCAGTGATCTAC